AGTTTAACAGCTAATATTTCATGTGAGTTCATTTGTCATCTGTGACATTAAGACAGATAAAAATGTGTTATTTTATTGTAGTAGTTATTTGTCAAAGCAGCACGCGTCAATTTACACAGAGAACCTCCAGCGGCCAGAAGCCCCATACAGAAAAAGCAGAGAGGATCCGGTCGATTTTCAAAATAAAACACCCCTGCCGGTAGTAAAAACAGAAAAAAGCGAAACTAATTAACTACGTAGCATAATTACACACGGAGAAGCAGATCTACAAGCACATACACGAAAGAAAATTGCCAAAATCCGAGCAAGCTTCTGAAACGCTCCCGGTGGGGTTTGAAGTCGCGTGCAGGATGGACCAAAACAGCATCACGTGACAGAGATGTCTGTCAGTAACACCTGCAGTAACTTTAAAATACAAAATACAACGCGTACTCAGTACCCAGAGTTAATGTCTATCCGCTCATGCACAGGCAACGGATAGTCCAGCTAACATGTACTTTAGCTAGTTTAGCCAACTCCCCACACAAGCAATCTTCGCTATTTCACTAATGTTATAACGTTTGAACGTCACAAAGAAACACACAATCACACATCTGCACTGTATTAACAAAGTTAACATAACTCTTGATAGTTTGAGTGTTTGCTGGTTAATGTTAATCAGCTGACGTTAGCTACCTTAATGCTGCTCTCACATGGACTTGAGATTCACCCGGTCACTACACATTAGCCTTCTGAAATTCGGCATTTGAAGACATAAAACGAGCTGAAGTTCACAGTTAACAGTGATATAAAGTCATTCTGAAATGCTGCTTTTGTTGAAAGGACAAATAATGCTTTTAATAGCCAATAAGGAGAAACGTAGCACAGTCCTTCGACACAAAGAAAATGGCGGCCTGAAATTTCCGTTAGTCGATTTTCCAAAGTACGTTTGACGCTGCGTATTTTAACGACGTATATTTTCACCAACACTGCGCGGTATCTTACTCCAGCTGTTGTTGGAATAACTCTGAAAGACTTCATGTACGTTGACACT